TCTTGAATCTGGCAACATACGCTTGAGATGAGTTAATTCTGCGATAGGAGACAAACAGGTAGCATGTCCTTGATTTGCCTAGCACTTTTGACTCCTGGCGCAATAAGCCTCGGCTTTTGATTAGAAACTCGGAACTGTGTCTCAGACATTTCAGACAAGTTGCTGATGATCTAGAATGGTGGACGAAGTTTTTTTTCGAACTAGCTGGTAGAGAAAAATGAAGCTACATCACTTGAATGAAGTTATCTTCATGGATGTTTCAGTGGGAGCGCGCTTCCTTCCTTGAGGAAACCGGCGTCCCTGTTGTTTTGAATATTAGTAAAGAAAAGAGGAGGCGTTCTGAAATGCTACTATATAGTGAACACTTAGTGAACAGATTTTTGTGAAAATCATGAGAAATTATGTGAATTGAAAGTTTTGCTATCCTGAAAGTGGCATTAGCTTAGCAATTGCCCAGCCCTTCCCTAATTTGGAAAGAAGTTAAGCACGCTCTGTAATCAGAGAAAGTCTTCGGTTTTTCATACTTTGTTCCGAGTCTCAATGCGCATATACAGACCAAATTTGGAGCCACATCGTTATCCATGCGTTGCAAACGTCATTTTTCCACTTTTCGCAAATAGAGAATTTTATGAAAAGCTTGTCACAGCCCTCGATTAACGCGTTGCAGGATTATGTTGCACAGTTCTCTGCACTCTGCTCCTTCTAGCCCTTGGCCGTTTATGTACCAAATCTGGTGTCATATGTTGTGTGTGTCCATTAACGAGGCAGTTGCTTACTACTTATTGTCAGTGTAAAGAAAATTTTCTTTCGAAAATGATGTCTAGAGCAAATCATGTTTGTGCACAATAATCGTGAACGATACCCTATTTCTCCACTTAGAACGAGTTTCAGCTTGACATTTGCCACCCTCATGCAGGGGCCTATTATCTCTCCAAAGAACATCAACTTTCATGGTTTTGAGAAACATCTCCTTGATCACCAATAGTTATTCCCACTCTTCGCATACTTCTAATCTCTGACGGAAGCTTTCTCGCCGACTAATTTTGGTAACCTCAACGTGTTTCCATCTGAAAACTTAGCCATATTGAACTTCCTAAGCGTGAAATAATAGTTCACATTGAAGTCTCGGCAAGTGAATTTGTTCGTGCTTTAATTCCTTGGTTGCATTTCGATAGACTGCGTCCTCCATACACCGTCAGTATCGCTTATATCGTTATCTTGGAAGTGGTGTTTAGTTTTCGATTATGAATCGCCGAAAGACAGAACCAAAACGCCGCCGCGCTGGTGCTCCTCCGCGTGAGCGCGCTGCATCTATGTATACGGTAAGTCGGAAATGATACTTCGGACTTTAGCACTCAAAGCTGTGAAATTTCTGATATTAGATTTGCGAATGTTGAAATTTGCCTTTGTGAATGCTCACACGAGCTCCCCGTACAATTAACTCTAATAACTGAAATATGTATTCAAAAACATTTGCCGCATTTTCATCAAATGGCCACTCTACTAAGCACTAATTATTGTATTTCGACGGAGGTAAATGTTAGAGTCATCAGACTTGATTTGAAACTTGCTAAATTTCCAGATAGGTGGGGTGTCCCAAGAATTGTAATGAATGCTCAGTCGTTAAAAACTCCTTTGTCTTCAGCTTTTGCGAATTTCCAGAAACTCACTGTAGAGCTGGCTCTAACTTGAACGAAGCATAATTCAGGTACTTCTTAATCACTGTAGGATCAAGGTGGAGCTTTCAACACAATATCACCCTTGTAGACTAACTTCTTTTTCAAAGGAGTTCAGAATAGCGAAAAAACGTTTTGAGGTTTTTTCCCGTTAATTCCAATGCCTCTCTAACAATTTACACGATATATCTTACAAAGAAGAATTCACGTAGAAGTGCAGCGCTTAACTAGATAATAAGCCGATAATAATAGATAATAATAATTTGCTAAATTCTTCTGCTCTTTTTTTCAAGGGAATATTTGCCTTCATTGACACACAACTCTTCTAGAAAATCTTATCCTACCCTAGAGTAATGAGAAGGGATTCGGTGTACAGCTCTCTGTGAACCTAAGTTAAAGCAGGCTCTTGCGGGTGGGCTCAGCACCCCTAGCCGTGTGCTCGACTCCTCAACTCTGCTAACTTTGCACCCTAGAATCTCATTCGCTACCGACGTGAACTTCATCGCCCTCACTTGGTGCGATCGTCCTAACAGATAACTAACATAGAAACGCGCGATAAGTCAAATAATTACATCCTAACTATTCAAAGCAAAAGCAAAGACTTCACAAAAAACGCAAATTACTACAAGTGCTAAACAGCAGCTTAAAACAATAACACGGTACAAGCCGCGTCCTTCCGTGCTGCGAAATCTCTAAAGGCTCAGTTTTTACAAGTTTGTTCTCAGTTCCTCCACCAGGATCGGCCGCAAAAGGCAAGTCCATGGAACGGAGCAACCTCAGCTCCACTCTTGCAATGATGATCATCTGCGAAACAGAAAAATCTCTTGCACTATAGCGTTCAACCCAAACGCATCACAGGCTCAACCGCCTCCAGTCAGGAGCTGCTAAAAAGCCAACAGTCCAACGTTTCAATAACAAATCGATAGAGACGAGAATAAAAGAGGCATATGCCGCTATCAGCCGGCCTGATATACCCTTCCACTTAGCCGCGTTCCCAGGGGTGGTCCGGCCACGAGTACAGTAGACACGACCTATCAAGCGGCATACAGGCTCCCCTCGAAACAAGATAGAAGTGATGCTCGCACCGCGAGACGCGACAGAGGTACTACAATTTTACAATGTGTATCTAGAGATTCGCTAGAGCTGCTTAGAAGGAAGTAATCAAATGATCGCTGCAATTTTTTGGGACACCATATATAGTTCTTTTAAGCTATCTGCAGAAAGCTTGCATTTCTGGAATTCTAGTTGCAGGAGTCCTTAGCTTAATGTATGATTAAAATGTGCGAAGATATAATTGCAAATGTGGGAAACTGGAAAATTATGCGTTGCAGCAAATTGCCGGTTAGGAGATTTAGCATTCATGCAATGCTGCTCATCCTTCACTGCATCTGTTCATAAACTGAGTTGGCTAGTTTACAGCTTTTGTTCGCTCAGGCAGTTAATCGCTCACCTTACTGCTTTTGTTCAGAGCCACTAGACCAGCCAGTCCAGTTCCACACCACATTTTGCTGCTTTTCTTGGCAGATATGCGAATACGCAAATTTGTAACTGCCAAGAAGTTCGCTATGCGTATGGTTTTTTGATTCAAAGTTCAAAGCCCTGGATCTCTTGGTATCAAAAGATTATGGAACTTACTATTCCGAACTTGACAAGGCTATAAGACACAAAGAAAACTAGCCTCATATGTTGTCGTAAGCCAAGTTCAAAGAATGACCTTGCACCATCCAAAGAACATTTTTTCCTTCTCATGAACACCTTTGGTCCAGCAAGAAATTCGATCAGTTCTCAAAGTTCTGCAGCATGACGATTGCTTTTAGGAAAAGGATTATGGGCTCATTTTTCAAACAGTGCATTGCATATCCGATAATGGGGTATAGTTTCTAAATGTTAGTCGTCAAGCGAAGTCCAAAGCGTTTCTCTACGTTTACTCAAAATGGCATACGAATCTGAAATCGATTATAATTTTGTAATAAGGCTTGACTTCTGTATAACGAACGAACTCAGGAATCACTGCTTCCCAATAAGACTAGAACATTGACAAAACTTGATACCTGGTTTTTTCATATGACTTTTGCCTCCTTGCTCCTTTCCTGTCAAACTATATTGTCTTTACTTATTCCATCTCGTACTTGTTAGTGAGATTTTTTTCACAAAAAGATCCCAAAACTTTCTCTTTCTTACTAGAAATGACAACTTTCGGAGTATCCAGGGAAATGTGTTAGCGTTTGAGCTACATTTTGTTATAGCATCTATTTATTCTGCGTTCTAGCAGTAAATTCGCGGATCTTTTGTCAAACTTTTACAATTTGTGGGATTTTCACCAAAAATACTCCAATTATTTTTGAGCATTCATCAGGTACTGCACAATGTGAATGAAAGAAATAGTTTTGAGAATTTGCTTGTGATAGTTTTTTCATTCCTCCTGTTTTGAGACGTTGAGGCAATCATGCACAGTATAATGCCGAAAGAAACAGCACAAGGATAAAGAGAAACTGAAAGAAAAAAGACAGATGCTTACAAATTTGCCGTAGATTTGCTAATTACGAGTGCACCTGCAGCATCGGTAGTACTCCTGGAAAGGAGGCCCCTGATCTCTATGGAGCAGATTTTTACAAACGCTTGTAATTTTCAAGTAGATTGTAGCATCGGCTAACACCTAGAACTTAGCTTAGCTTCTTGGATTTTATGAAGCAAATGTGAGAAGTTGCGATAAAATTCTACCAAATTTGCAGAAATCTTTTTGCAGTTAGAAAGGTATTGGTTAAAATTGCATTTGCGCTTCAAAATTATATGTGATATACTTAGCTAAACTGCGTGGTTTGACTTGAGCAATCAAATTTTTACAAACCTTGATTGAATTACTTGAAACGCTTACCATATATTCTCAGAAACACTTTCTGCATAATGAAATCGCTGACTATGTATTAGTTTGCAACCCATTTACGTCAAATATCGTTATCAACTTTCTTCGTTAATGGCATATTATCGCCAACAAACTTTGAACGATGCGTTTGCGAAAATCACTTTCGTGCCTCACGCTTTCATTCGACACCAGTTAGGAAGCTAATTTGTCGGCAAAGCTGCCAACTGGCGTATTTGCCGTAGATTACCATTTAGCTCTCGTTCTAGCTATCTGTAAACCATGAGCAAACGCTTTAGAAGAAGGAATTTGCCGGAGGTAAGGAAAGATTATTGGTAGAGTATTATATGGAAAGTTTCTAAAAAAATCTGGAAAAGAAATTTAGTTTCTTAAGTGTGAAAGGAAGAAGTGTGAGAGGTCTTGCTGGCTTTCTGACAAGTAAATTAAGTGGCTTTTTTTTTCAGGTGTCGTCGGATATTCTCCGTGTCTCCGGATACACACAACAATTCCGTACTCTACTCACTGCTCGCTTCTCCCCAAGACGGGAATCCGTTCCGAATGTACATTTGGAGACTACGGAAACTGAATCGCCAGGTTAGTCTCCTTTGCTTTTTTGCTGAACATAGAAAAGATCATTCGGTTGCCTTACTCGGACCCCAACTTATAAATCTCTTCCACCTCCTGACGTATAAAGTTGTAAGAGAGAGCGCTGCCGCTATCAAACTCAAACGGAAAGTCAAATATGTCGAAAAGTGGAAAGTTATAAAGAGCGTAACCCACTAGCGAATTGAATATGGTGCTAAATTATTTGCAGGAAAGGAAAGGATGGGAATGCAAGTTGTACGGCAGTCTTTTAGGCACCAAAAAAAAATAATAGTCAATCTGGATGAGTTAAAATATGCTACCCACATAAGTTAGTGATTTTTTAAATTTCTTCGACAACTTGCTTGTATAATTTGGGAGATATCAACAAGACTCGTAAGACCTTTGCGCCAGTCATTTGTAACCCAATAAGTTAGCTTGCACACTGCGTGGGGCACCCAGCGACATCTCAAAAGTCTGTTAGAAACTTTCCTAGCGTAACAAACTGTGAATTATGTACTTCCACCTAACACATATTGACACATATCCAGTTCAAAGCAAAAGAGGAAGAAAAAGTGGAGAAATCCCTGAAAATCAAAATTTTCTAATATCCTTGACGTGGCGCGAGATGTATTATATGCTATACTCATGTTAAGTTACAAATGACTCGACAATGCATGATAGCGAAGCATTGAATTTTTCTGCCGGTACCAGGTTGATAAAGAAAAGATACCAAGTTACATTGGCAAACTGGTAGGAGATGCATATAATAGAAATTTAACCGCTGATTTAGACCCACCTTTTTTTTATCTGAGCAACCACTCGAAAAGAAGTTATAAGGTTTGATTGTCGGATGTGAGATACTCAATAATATAAGTACTTTCGGCAAAGGTTTGACAATACTTTCGCGCACTTAGGCTAAGCTTCGATGGGCTTCAATCACTGAGACTCCATAAGTCTACAATTCCGAGTGTTTTCCATTCCTCTTTCATGAATTTTAACTTCAGCGATAAGAGGAGCCGAAGCTGGCCCAAGCCTTGTAATAAATCATTGGAAAATTTTGCTAAAGTAAGTGCATAAAAGCTTTCGTTTATCCCGAAGATTTAGTCTGGAAGCGCTCCATTTGACACCATCAAGTTCCAAAGGTTTCAAAAATCACATCTGCAGATTACGAGCTCATGGGCACTTTCAAAGTGACAAAAATGTGGAGTAGTACAACTTTACGAATTTCGTATACGTGCTTGGAAACTCTTGCAAAAATGAAGCTTCTCAAACCACCTGCACAACTTTATGAAATTCCTTTTTCACTTTGTCGTACTAAAGCTGTACAGGCTGCGGCCTGCCGCTTTGCACAAACGAAAACTCAGATATGTCGAGATGATAAATGATTCAAATATTCTTGAGAAACTTCTGCGCTTTTTCTTCGCTAAACTACATTTCCATCTCATTTCCGTTTCCGAAAGAATGTTTGCAAAACGGTCTTTATGTGCGTCATATTCGTCTGAAAACGTTCCAACAGACAGTGTAAATAATAAGTAGCTTAGTTCCAATTTCCCTTGCATTCCCAATCATCTGAAAAGGCCATTCATTACCAACCGATTACTTCCGCGTTCAGATGTTCACTATTGAATTCAGTAAACATCACATTTATACGGTAAAATTGGAGCGGGGAGGGGGGGGGGGCTTGGCCAACGCATTATACTTGGTAGGTGGATTTGTTGAGCAATCTGTAAGCCTTATTCCAAAGATATGCGCATTGGAAAGCTTTTTATAAAATTCTACGATGGAAGAAAAAATTCTAGTCAAAGTACCACATTGATTAAGAACTTCCAATATATTTTCTTAAAGAAGGTAAGTGATCAATTGAACAATTACTTTTCCCATGAACTCTTTCATGTAAGCAGGATTCTACCAGTTTTCATCTTTTGATTGGGACTCGACTTTAAAATGCGATTTAGCAAAGCCAACCTGGACTTTCAAACATACGCTTGAAAGTTTGGTCCCTCCGCCGCTATGGAGCCTGAATCCAAGATTTTTGACCACCCGAAGAATCAAGCTTCCGTTCTAAACAAAAATGCTTTATAATAAAAAGAAAGAGATATTCGTGACTCAAGAGGAAGAATGAAGTTCGACGCTGCGATGTGCAAAAAAATACAAGTGTATGTTTTTGTTTGGAATAGTCTATGATTTTTGAATCTCCATCCAAAACCGGCTATCATATACGAATGTGGAAATATGAGCGATGGGAAGAAGATGAGGCAACAAAAAACCCAGCTGTCGTCGTTTTTCTTATCGGGTCTTCTCTATAGCCAATTTAAATTCGAAATTAGTCTTAAGGAGGCATCTGTCACCTTTGTTCGTCGCTTAGTACGGTAGTGCAAGCAGATTATTTCACCATATATATAGTCAGTCATTGTCTGGAACACTTATTCTCCCAGGAGAAAGCTAGAAATGCCTTCTTACAATCAGTGAATTTGACTTCCTTGAGGCTATCGTGGCTTTAGTCTAATATATACGTATTTACCTTATTATCACCAATCTTTACTTATTCTACAAAAGGTTCTGCTCAGTCCTGTTTCTAAGACTCATACAGTGCTGCATGGCGCGAACATACTTTTTAAACAATAAATTCCGAGAAAAAGCTTTTCACATCCATACTCATAATTGTTACACAATCACTTGGTCATTGTTACACAGTCACTTACACAGCAACTATTAACAAATCGGTCTCCAGACGTTTCTACTGAACCCACTTGTACGTAGTTATCATATCTCCCAAGGGACCAAGACATGGGACATAGCGCAATATATAAAACGTTATATATAATTGTTTGCTGCCCATTTACTTCCATTATTTGCCTTCAAAGTTCAACCTTTTCTGGAATTCAATATATGTGCGATTGGAAAAATGATGTCATTCTGCAATCATGAATCGCGCAGTTGCGAATGCATTACGGGCGCGAATCACGGGGGCACAAAGTGAATTTTGCGCCTTGCCCTGCAAATGTTCTGCGTAGCAATAAGGAAGCAAATATATCGGAATTGGAATGAATCGCGAAAAAATTGTTTCTGGAATGTTATAATTACAAGAAGTAAAAATTGCTCAAAACCCTTGATATGTGGTTGCCGCTTTCTCAAGCGAAATTATGGACTTGTTAAACAGAATATTAGTGGTAGTCTCTGGCAATGATAAAGATCTTTCTTGCAGTGAATCTCACAGCTCTCATTTGAATGACATTACTTAGGATTTTTCTTTAGCATTCGGCATACTTGTAATTTAGAAACACGCTTAAATCGAACACATACTTCGAAAGTCTGTTAACCAGCCCAGAATGGCCCAGAATCGGACCTACCTTACCACTTGCAAAACAGTAGGCAATCATATCAGCCAACCCTTCACTTTGCAAAGATGTAGATAGTGTATACGAATTCGAACTAAGCTCTAAAACATAGTCAATACTTACAAGGTAAGGATGTTTGGTAAAATTGGGTTTTCGGGATGGGATGTACACTCTTATTAAAAGCACTGAACGCTAATTCCAAATCTGCCTTTCTTCTCTGCAGAGCTTTTCTGGCTCCCGGGGGAGTTATGATATATTCCAGAGCAAAAAATAAATGCGCGACAAGGGGAAAATGGTTGTCAAAAATTTCCTAGCTCAAATGAAGGATTGGCGAGTGAAGATATATAGAATTCAAAGGATTTATGGCATAGAGGCTTCAAAAATTGTCAGTGATTTCATCAAGTCGTGCATTCAATTTTTTGCTTCAGTAAACGTTTAAAGCTCCTCATCCAAAAACGCTTCGCATACAGAGAAGGCAGACTTAAAATCAACGTTTTATGCTCTAGGCCACTTCAACTAATCATCCTTTCCTCGTTAGGCTGAACTTTTGTTTCGCTATCAATTACAGTGACATATTTTGCTCTTAGCGTACTACAGTACCTCCGGCCTTGAGTAGGATAACATTGTGTCCAACTATCGTCCACTGCGCTACAATATCGCAACAAAGTTGCTATAGCCAGCTCAAGTATATCTCTTGTAAAGCACTCATGTAAAGGAGAGGCAGCTGCCTGATGAAAGCGCCGTAAATCAATTCGCAACTCACAATCAAAAAAAAGAAAATAAACTTTTTATGCGCATGCTGTGACAGCAAAGTCATCAAATATTCATGCGCAGGCAATAAGCAGATTTTTTGAAGTGCGCTGTAGAATTCTAAGTATTGGAAAACGCGCTAAAAAAACCTCTCGAGTAGTAGTTTATAAGCTTTTTAAGTGGTAGTTCATAAACTCAATATCAGGCAATCGCATGATTTCGGTGAAACCATACCTTCGATAGTCTAGAACAGGGCGCCAAAAGTGAAGGTTGTTTGAAAATCTGACGTCACAAATAGTGAAGGTTGTTTAAAGAAAATCAGAGAAAAGAAAATGACGTAGAACACATATAAAAAGCAAAAGAAACTGCTGTAAACCGGATAACGCTGTAATAAGGTTTGAAGTCCTTCATTTGGCGTTCAGAGTGCAAATGTTCCAGGACCAGCAATTCGCAACACGGGGTTTTGATTTTTGATGCGTCCTTTGAATTTTTACCCCCTCATTGACGTTCCTGTTTCCTGGGACGTTGTCTGGATTGTTGCGCTTATTGTTCTGAGCAACAATCGCCCAAGCTGGAAAAAAATCGCTGCGAAAGCACTGAATTAGAACAAGGCAAAGAAAAACGCACTTTTTACGATTTTCGCAAAAAATTTCACCATAGTCGAAGAGGTAAGGGTTGGGTGGTTGTCTGCATTATGAACAGAAGCAAGATCTATAGAATGCACGAAAAAAACGCATGAAAAGAGTTAAACTGGGAGAAAAACAAGAGATTTTCGAAATCAAGGTTTTTGCCGGATATCTCGACCAAATTGAAAAATGTGGTTTTGGGACGTTGTCAGCGTAAAAATAGAGATCAAGAGCTTCAAAATGATATATAACTTGTTAAAATTGGTATCGAAACAGAGAAGAAAAGGGCACCAGG